AAACTCGCTGATATCCTTGTTATTGCTGGACATCATGTGGTACCATTCTTTTTTTACAAATTAATCACAGCGCACAGTTACACTAGGAACTCCAGACTGATAGCTAAGATGGTCGTGGTGCCTAAATGCCGATTATTTATCGAAAAACTAGGTTGCTGATATCCTTTACTGGTAGTTCCACCTGAAAATATGAATAAAGGCATTTCTCAGCCTATACTTTTTATAATTCTTTTAGAATACGATTTTGCAAATACAAATTCTTGCATTCCTGAAAGCTAAGATAGAAAAAATTGTTATAAAAAATAAAAATATTTGTCTCTTTGAGTAGTGGAGGAATAGCAAGTGCAAACAGCTAAACTACTGACAGTTTTTCTTTTCGAAAAACGCTTGTAGCAAGCTGAAGGCAGATTTGATTTCCTGATCATATGCCATTATAAACTGACCATCAAAACCGATGAACTAATCGTAGAGGAATTGGTTGCCACGCTGGATGACCTGAACCTTCAATTTCTAGGATGTGTTTGACGCTACGTGTCACTACGCCCTCATCCTCAGTAGGGAGCTTTTTTATTCTTATTAAGAAAGAAATGAAACTGTAGCAGTAATAGTGAACAACTGGGGATATGCAGCTCAGGACTGAAGGACCTGGCATTGCTGCCACCGGCGTATGGGGGCATTCCAGTAACATCATTAGCATAAGATATATTTTGTATTCAGCATGTGATCATACCGGAATGGGATCCGGATTTGACAAGTAATGGAACAAAATATGCACAACGTGTTACTCGACTGAAACCGTCGACGCCATCGCAGTACGTGAAGATGCAGTTTCGCGATGATCCATTTGCTGATGCGGCATCAGTACGTTTCAAGGAAGGCTCTAAATTTATATCAATTGCTAATCAATTTTGCGAAGGTATTTAATTCTTCAGTGAAGGTACCACTTCTAGATCGCCTGACTAACTACGTCAAAATAATGGAACCAAAAAGTCATTTAATTCATAAATTTTTACAAAAAATTTAAACAAAAATAGGATCCTCAAGCACATATGTGCGCGAGAATAAAGGTAAGTGTGTGTTTATGTATTTGGTTAAAAGTTTGTTGTTTTTGTGTTTATTTGTTTTTGTATTTGTTTATGTTTATGCCTATGTGCTTGTGCGTTCGTGTGTGTGTGTGTGTTTATATCTGTGTTTGTGTGTGTACAAGAACACACCGTAGATCCACGGTAACAAATTAGTAGCGAACAACGTTACTTTCATTCAAAAGTTTAAAATTAGTTCTTTTTTTCCAGAATTTTTATCGAACAAGCTCCTGATCGATGAGCTTCGAGCGGATCAGTATGATTTAGGAATTACCGAAATATACGAATTATGTCCATGTGGGTTATTCGAATTGATGGGA